TATATATTGTTTAGTTTTTGTTTTTCTTGACGATGTATAAACTCCACGTTTCCACATTCGACGATTCCACTTCCGCGAAACATAAGTCGGAAAAATTTTTATTTATGAAAAAAAAATTAATTAAATAAATAGAGAAAATATCGAGAGGGAAAAAAAACAAAGAACTATTTTGTTAACTACTTAAACGCGAAGAATTTCAAACAGCTTTTTTAACTTTGCATTTGTTACAAAATAATATAATTTTTGCCTGAAGATAGTTTTTTCGAGTTTGAACCGTGTTAGGTATATATATATATATAAATAACACTAACGCGGTTCAAAACTCGTTATCAGAAATTCTGATGACACACCACGAAAGCGTCAGAATAATTTTTACTTCGTTTTATTGACATATACAAGAATACTACTATACATTCTGTGCGATTAACACACATCCACATATTAAGAGACAATAAAAACCAGAAAACTCAGCATCTTGCTATTCTTCATGTGGGTCTCATGTGGTTTCCTCTCGAGTTTTTCCGCGTCTAGTCTCGGGGCATATGTACGATTACGTAAAGAAAACACGGGAATTATACGAAGTGGTAGAAGAAGAAACGAAACAGACTGATTTATGTTGGAGCGATGTTCCGACCAAAGTCAACCGACATTAAACTGCCGAATTTAACGCGATATATTTTACAAGACACATATGTAATCATTGTACAGCGCGCGTAATCGTTACTACATACAATAAATAAAAATATTGGAGCAACAGTATATATATTTTGTAAAATATTATTACTTGCGTTTATATGTGTGTGTGAATTTTTGTGCATATATAAATAACATATATAAGCACATATATAATTATTAATTAATATATTAATAGTAAATTTTTATATAATATATATTACACTGTGTGTGTGTGTGTGTGTGTTAAATTTAACACATACATATATAGAATTATACAACGTAAAAGAATATCTACATTTTTCGCGTTTAGAAAAAGAGAGAAATATGTTTTTACAAAAAATTGAAATACACAAATAAAATTGATTTTACTGTAACAGAATCGTTCGAAAGTTTTTTTCTCATTTTGATATATAATCTCGTATCTCGCTATAAGTAATGTCCGATAAAAACTTATGGTAGTAATAACTTACTAAACGCCATTTATCCTGCGGAAGAGCGGACTACAAACATATGTTTTACACGTGATAACGTGTTGCGCGTCGATCATCTGTGCGTTTTCTCCTCGCTCGAAGTGGCGAAGTTAATTGCTCGTTTTCTCATCTCGTTAGCGTTACTTCCGCCCGGAAAATAAATGCACAAGACCACGTGTTACGAGCTTAAATTAATGCTCTCGAGTTATTACAGCGTATCGTAATAAAACATCGAGTTTTCTCTGAAATTTAAATAGACAAAAAAGGGAATTTAAATAGACAAAATGATATTTATATTATTTTTTGTTTTCGTCAATATAAAGATGATTTATTTGCAGAAAAACATTGAATAAAAGCACGTGAAGAAACTTTCGGTTTTTTTTTTACATTTTCAATAAAAGTTTTTTGCTTGTGAAACTCGAACACACAAAAATTTTATTTGCCACACAATAGAAATTATTTTCCGTATAACTTTTTTTTAGGTACATTTACAATTGACAAAAAGATACTCAAAAATTATATCCAAAAACATGATCGACATAAAAATCCAAAATATAAACTGACAAAATCCAAAAAAAAACGCACATAAATGTTTGAAAATTTGGAAAAAATTGGAATTTGTTTTTTGAAAAAAAAAAAAAAATAATCGATGGTTTATAGAGAGAGAAGAGCAATGTATGCTATGTGAAATGTTTATTTATAACAATTAAACGGGCCATCCATAATATTTATTGGATACGACGTATTTAATATAGGTGTAACACGGTGTAACACATAATTACTAAAACGGATAAAGTAGCGGGAGAAAGGATAGGGAGAGATGAAAAGATAAAATGCGAGAGAGGATACAGTCACGGGTATAAAGAACGATATAGAGTTGCGACTTGGATAATAACTTTAATTTGCTAATTCTCATGGAGATTTCAGAATATCTGCAGCGCCATTATTTGTGATACATTAACGATGATGGTGATGATGATGGTAGTGATAATAATAATAATAATTAATTAAGTAATAATAATAATAATAATAATAATACATTTGTATATGGCAAGATTTCATTGGTCAATAAATACTTCACTTAAGTTGACAAATAAATTCACCAAATAATTTATATCCTACAGATTTATTCTTATAAATCTGTTTCCTATATAAATTTCTATCCATTTGTTTTAAAGAAAATCTTATTCTTTTTAGAAATAAATAAATATCAAAAATTTGCTCTCAAAATCTCAAAAATTTGCACTTTATATTTTTTATGTATTTGCGTATTAAATTAATAAGGACGAGCTACGTAATATTACGTAATATTCAATCGTGTTATTAAGTGTCAATTATTTGGAAAATTTAGATGTATTTTTTTCGACGTATTCTAAATCGTACTACTCTATTGTATCCAGCTGCAGACAATTCTCGGTCGCACATTCTCTCACACGACCAATTTTCTTTTTACCGTCAAACAGCAGTCACCATAAAGGTAATAGTGCGCGCAAGTAATTCGTCTCTAATACTATCTGTTTTTTTTCTTTTTTCTTTTTTTTTTTGCGTTAATAATATTCTTAAAATATGTAGGTATCACTATTGTATGTACACGTGTGTGGGTAACGACGAACAATTCGGTCGTCGTTTTCGCTTAATAAAAGTTCACGCGCCTCTTCGTTCAGTTTCGCACTAATTGAGTTTTCATTCAATCAAAAAAAACGAAGAGTCGTTCAGTCGTTCTCTGACTTTAAGAAAACCGCATGACTCCTGCTCGATCCTAGAACCAATAGAGGTCCTTGGAATCCTGGACTTGAGATTCGAGTCCTGTAACACACAAAAAGAAGAACGCGTTAATTATAAAAACGGCTTGTTATAAAAACAACTTTACTCATTTAAATATTTGTTAATACCTTTGAGCCTTTTTTGTTTGCAATTTAAAATTTACGTTTTATGATTCTATTACACATGTGTATGTAACAATTATCAGATTTTTTTTTAATGATGCTAGAATTGTTGAAGAAAAATTAAATAATCGTTAAAATAAAAAGATATCAATTTCTCGCATCTCTATAATAAGATTCTGAACAAAATTGGTGTGCAAGGATTCCGAACTTTATAAATGTAATGCGAGTGGTTGGCTTTGGTTGAAAACTTATTTCGATCCGAAAAGAGAAGATCTCTTTATATTCGTTGCTCGAAATTATTTATCGGCAGTTACAACAAAAGGGGAGACAACATTATGACGGATGCGAAGGTGCAGAACTGATGATGGCACCCGCTGAGCAACACGAACGGACAAACGAACGGTTAGACAGATAGGATCTGATGTCAACGAGATCAGTCAGTTAAGATCTCATGTTCCGTGCGGCTGAATTTATTTGTTATCTCGATATAGCAAAGGGTAGAGGATCAAGACGGATTATTGTCCACATCCTTCAAACCGTTCTGGGCATGCGCGAGGAGATGTGTGTTGTATATTATAATCAGTTATCGTATAGCAGATAACAAAAAAAAAAATATGTACAAACAAATATATTTAAAACATTTTTTTATTAGTTGATACAAAATATATTTTATAAAACGAAACGGAGTAAGACTTAAAACTGAAGAAACGTTTAAAAAATTCAGCAAAAACTTTACGAATATCTTTTGAATTTTTCTAATATTGTCTTAAACTGAAATAATTCTCCACACTGTAATTATCTCTACCGAGATAATTTTCTTTAAATACTTCTTGATCGAATGAAGATATCTCGAACTTGATTATCGCGACAACAGATCACTCGAGTCTTTCAATATCGCGAATCGCCAACACGTGTGTGCGATACGGGAGATTGAATTTCTTTCTAAAACGATACGCACGTGTTGACACGTGGACCACGTATCTACCTGCTTCAAAGTCAGCAACGTGCGACCTATATATTGGTACATCGCCATATTGGCTCGCGCACACATGTATAGATACACACACGCGAATGTATGTATACATACATACATTCGCGTGCGAACACAAAAGACTTGATCGACGGCGTTGCGTGGAACGCCAAGTATTATTTGATCGAGCGTCGCTGAGCTGGAAAATGATCGAGAGAAAGATATATATCATTGAATAGAAAGAAAAACAGTCCCTACACGTTATCACGATAAATTGACTGCGAAGAAAATACGTGTAATATATGATAAAATAAATTGCACACAACATAAAAAGAACACAATTATATTTGATATTTGATGCTTTCGCGGTGTGTAGTATTAACATACAAAGATGTTTTTTCGGGTTTGAACCGCGTTAGTGTCATTTTTATACCGACGTTTCGTGAACATTACAGCTCACTTCATCAGGGTTTGAAGAGCAGCCTGATACTGTATCAGTATCAGGCTGCTCTTCAAGTATCAACCGCGTTAGTGTCATTTTTATACCGACGTTTCGTGAACATTACAGCTCACTTCATCAGGGTTTGAAGAGCAGCCTGATACTAGTATAATTATATGTTTTCGGCTTGTTGAATATTTAAATAAAAAGAATTAAACTGTGAAAATTGAACTGTGTAAAAAACTCTTTTTTTTTTTTAAATCTTAGAATTATAAAAGAATTGTACCCGAACATCTGGTGTTAGTTTGTTATTGCCATTTCCTTAATTCTTTTTATAAAAGGAATAAAATCGAGTCGAAATTTAGCGTCTACATTGTACCTCAATTTTTGAAAAAAGGAAATTTCGGACGTATAGCAGCGTCAAAGTAGCATCTACTTTTTTCTTACTCCTACTTTGAGCCTATCAGAGCCTGCAATGCGCAGTCTGATCTGAGAATTGAATCCTACTTTAAAACTTTAGCAGGAAAAAAGGAACTTTCGGACGTATAGCAGCGTCAAAGTAGGATCTACTCTCTCTCTTACTCCTACATAAAAAAAGAGGAATTGAGGTTCAATGTAGACGCTATAACTTTCGACTCGGGATAATTCTTACAAAATATATTACAATTAAAATATAATCAATTAATTTTTTTAGCAGAAATCAAATTTAAAAAATTAACAACGCGAAATTCAACCGGTCAATGAGAACCTACGCTGGATGTTCGTGCAAAATAAATAAATATGTACGCATATATATATATATATATATTTATATTTTCTTGTGTAAATTTTTACACATGAATTTGAATTGAAATATCAATTCGTGAATTCACACAAAATGTTGGATTTGCATCGCGTATATGAGAGAAATGCCCCGTTTATTCCTCTATTTAATTAAATTTATATTGCAAAACTTAAAAACAATCAAGTTTACACAAAAACAAACTATTCTTCGACACAATTGTTTATCTGATAAATTAAAATAATCAAAACCTCGCGCGTGATTTTGTTCATTTACTTTCTAAGATCGAATTTTTAGCAAGCATCACACCGTGGCGGATAAATTCTTCGCAATTTCTAGCGGAACATTTCGTTGGTTTCCTTGGTCTCGTGTATGCCTCGCTTCTTTGTCGGTAGGACTAAAGGAAATTCCTTCGTGCGGGATCTCTCGCAGTGCTCTTTGATATCCGCGATATTGAATGCTGAAGCATTCATAACAGGTGCGTCCGTCCGTAATTTTGTATCTGCCGATTTGTGTGTATGAGTTTGAGGTTTTCAAACGGAAACATCTTGTCGTGCATTTCTTCGCGAATACGATTCACGGCGCGCGCGATTAATGCGTTCTTTCTTTTTTTTTTCTTCCTTCGCTTCGATAGTTACGAAATCATAGTTCACGCACACATTACGCAATATATATAACTCGTGATTTTTCTCAAAAAAAATTTGTTAAATCTTCTTCAAAATTTTTCATCTTTCTCACAAATCTCATTCCATCGGCGAAATAAGAAATTCATTGAAAGTGAGAAAGAGACGGAGAAAACATGACAATCCATCGCGCATAACCACATACGCGATAATCCACATACGTCGCTTAATCTCCCACGTGAGCATCCTGATCGCCCGTTGTAATCCTGATGGCAGGACGGGGGTCTACCTAATTCAATACGTTTAATGCGACATCACGAATACCGAGTAATATGCACCATTGTCACCGTGTGTGTGGGGCGATTTATGTGACTCGCTTACGTACATGTACGCGCGTTTTCGTTGACGAAAATGCCGACGTCGACACAACAAGGGGCGGCCGGGAAAATGGCCGGGAGAGACAAGGGCTTGGTAAATGGTGTGTCGAATAACCCGAACAATATTGCCCGATGTGTTTGTCATATTATCCCCTTGCGAAAGTCACCGCCTGTTTATGGCGGTGATATTTGCGGCAAAGAGGTGAGGCAAAGAGAAAAAATATTCATATTCCGAAATCGAGATTTTATAACGGCGAAAGATATAGTTTACCGATCGTACACAGTTCTCAAATATTCATCCTCGGACGTCGAGAAATAAATAACATACTTGTAAGATTTTTATTTTCTCAGGCAGTTAAAATAGTTTTTCACAAAATAGTTTATTTTCATACATGATGATCTTCTATACGGAAACAAGTGATGATCTTATATGTATATATCTTACATACGTATATAAAAGATATATAACAAATATGACATCCCGAGTCGAAATTTAGCGTCCACATTGAACCTCAATTTTTGAAAAAAGGAAATTTCGGACGTATAGCAGCGTCAAAGTAGCATCTACTTTTTTTCTTAATTCTACTTTGAGCCTATTTTGAGCCTATCAGAGCCTGTAATGCGCAGTCTGATCTGAGAATTGAACTCTACTTTAAAACTTTAGCAGGAAAAAATGAAATTTCGGACGTATAGCAGCGTCAAAGTAGGATCTACTTTCTCTCTTACTCCTCCATAAAAAAAGAGGAATTGAGGTTCAATGTAACCGCTAAATTTCAACTCGGATCCTCTATAAGTTTGGAAACACCCCGAGTCGAAATTTAAACCCTACTTTACAAGAAAAAAGGAAATTTCGGACGTAAGCAGCGTCAAAGTAGCATCTACTTTTTTTCTTACTCCTACTTTGAGCCTATCAGAGCCTGCGATGCGCAGTCTGATCTAAGAATTGAACCCTACTTTAAAACTTTAGCGTGAAAAAAGGAAATTTCGGACGTATAGCAGCGTCAAAGTAGGATCTACTTTCTCTCTTACTCCTACATAAAAAAAGAAAAATTGAGGTTCAATGTAGACGCTAAGTTTCGACTCGGAACTTTACGTTTTACAGGCAAACAATCGCGTGACACAGCGATCTGTGCATGTTTTTGGTTTAGATACATCATAAGACGTCTGAAATAATGATAATTTTTATCTAGGACACTTGTAAGCTTATATATGCCGAAAATATATATCGGATAATCATTTCGTGACATCAAAAGGATTCAGAGAGTAAATATCGCGCTCTAGTTTATTGTTCGTCTATTGTTTACTTGTTTTGCGATTATTTATTTTTAATACTTGTTGTAGCTTTTACAATTTTTACGGAGTCTGAAATCAACCCACGACTTAATTGACCACTTTTAGAAAGAAAAACAGAAATTATATTTCAACAACTTCAAACAATGTGGTGTTTCTTTGTATTTTACAACGCGAACAGGATGCCACTAAACAAATTGACATATTTTCGGCATACAGAAGCTTAGAAGTGTCCTAGATAAAAATGTTTATCATCATTTAGACGTTTTACAATGTATTCAAACCGAAAACATGCACAAATCGCTTATGCGATTGTTTGCCTGTTTAAACATAGGGTGTTTCCAAATTTGTGGAGGGTACTGTATATGTCTAAATAAACTTTGCGTCCGAAATCTATATAAGACTCTCTTATTTCCATTAAAAAAAAGCAATTTAGCCTC